GTTATAATGTTTCATTTAATGAGTGATATGATATTAATGAGTTTGTTACTTTCTCATGACAAACGTTATGATTCGTTTAAATTTCACGTCTCTAAACAAGTGTAGAGAGGGATGTTCACCCGTGAACGAGGACGATTGTTCACGAGTGAACAAACGGATCCGTGCAATGTTTGCGAGATCGTCCTTCTCTTTGAAAACGTATTCCCAGGTAAATGCTCCCAGGTAATAGTTTTCCTTGAAACTGTATTTCTTTTTATCATAAAGAATCTAGCGACCGATGGGGACGGGGGATGTCGTGACAAAAGATCTTGAGTAACTGCGTATCGCGTGAAGAATCGTTACAATCGTGTGCAATTAGCATTAACACCGTCGTACACTCTCGTCGTCGATGGAATGTGATAGTAAGCGTAAATAGTGAAAATGCGAGCGGAACTGGCGATCTTTTCTGACTCGTATCTATCGAATATCTCGGAGGTAATCGCGAGTTAACGAGGCTCGTAGAGAAAACAGAATAAAATGTAGACGTCAACCATTGCATAGATCGTTATCGCTTCGCAGATAATTACTTCGGGGCTTGATAATTAAATTCCACTCTGAAACTAATCGATGCGATCATCGATTAGAAATCGGTAACTGAATTTTCCGTTGTTTTATGTCCGCAGGGCACGAGATGGACGGGAAAGTGGTGGGTACCAGGGAAAATCTCGAGTCCGGGGTGCAGGGGTCGTCATCCGATAGGGTGCGGGAGGACGCCGAGAGAGAGACAGAGGTAAGGGTGAAAGTGAGAATGAGAGAACCGAGGGAGGTGTCGATACCGGGCGTGACCGAGGGTCTACCGCCTACCATGACCCGATATGCGCTGCCAGCCGACGACGACGTCCAAGTCCCAGGCCTCCGCCCACTGCACGCTATTTCGCCTTCCTACACACGGTGGAGAACGGACTTCGAAGAGAAGGGGGGATTGCGAACGAGAGCCGAAGAGATCAGCAGGCGTCAGATCGCAAGGGGACGCGAGAGTGCGCGCGTCAACGTCTTCGACTTCCTCTCGCTTCGTTTTCATCTCGGATTTACGTCATTTCGTGTTCTCTTCGATATTGCAGCGGTCCGTTTGTTCTTCCAAGACGATGTCCGGAGTCGACGGCAAGACCTAGCACGTGTAACATTCGCGGTACGAGTCGTGCATCTTCGGGAACACGCCTGGTACGCTCCTTTTCCGCGGAGTCGCCCCACCAGATTCTCCGGCGTTCTCCCTCTCCGACCTCCACCCTGTCCTTTCTTCCTTCCTTCCTCCCTGGAGTGTCAGTAGTCCCTTTCGGTATCGCGGTCTGCGCGCATTACCACCGTGCACCCGATCGACGTCCTGAGTCGTACGCGTGCGCGTCGTAAAACTGTCCGCAGAGTGCATCGCCGAGGACCTGGACAGTATTAGAGAGCGCCGCGCATGCCTTAGTGATTTGAATCGGCGGTCCGGGATTCGATAGGACCTCGAATCAACACCGTCGAGGATCGACCATAGACATGGACAGGTATTCGCGTGAGTATACCTAAAGTGTTTGTTCCGAGTACCGATGATTCGGTGTTATCGACGGAGCCGAAAAATTCGCGTCACGTGCGGCTGAAGTGTGTAACGTTGTACGAGCTCCCTTTTGGTCCGCGACCGCGACCGCGTCGGGACGTGGACACGGGTAGCTCTCATTCCTCCATCTCGTCGATCCCGTGTCGTTTTGGCGGCGGGGGTGTCTAATTGTGTCGTGGCCAACCGCAACGCGGTTAAACAGTCAAAATTCGGGTGAAGAACAGAGAACCGTTGCCATCGTACGCGATGGAAATGAGCGACGAGTACCAGGACATGGGAAATCCCGGCGGAGGGGTTGCGGTCGTCAACATGCCGATGGCCCATCACCAGCATTCGCCGGACAGTCCTCTGGTGAGTTTTTATTAACCATCTTCTCTTTTATTACGCATTATTTCCTATGATTCGATAGCCGGGCTCGATGTGACTATAGAATTCGTGTAAATAATTGTGTACTGAAAAACGGTGAGCTATGATACGATAAAGGTCGAACACGGTAGGGTATAAGAAAATCGAATATACAGTAGCCACGCTTTTTCTACGGACTATTAACCGGAGAAAAACCGCTGTACGCTTTTTGCAATTCTCTGTCATTATTTACTTAGCTTCCGAATTGGTGAACATGTAATAATATCCGAAGCGAAATTACGTCGCGTGTTGTTGATTGCTTCGATAAAACGGGGCTGACAATAGTTAGGTATTTACACTGTGTTTGCGATATACATGCCACGAGCCGAGCCAGGAAGGGCGGCGTGGTTTGTAAACAGCGCCAGACTTCGCTGCCTGGAACACGTTTTTTATCGTGTATCTTGACTTCTACAAATTTTATGCACTGCCTGCATGCCTATCGAATCGTGCCTGTTATAAAAGTCACCGTCTCGTTTACACGGTTGTCTCGGGGAGCCGAGACAGATTTAAAGCGTGATAATTTCATTCCCTTTTGCAATATGGAATAATGCCGTTTCCCGTGATTGATATTCTCGGTGTAAATTTATCGGTGGACTAAGAATAACGATATGTATCCTCGTGAAAACGTAATGTTACGTGGAATAAAAAGACGACGACGCGTCTCGGCGGAATTAGCGGTGTTATTGTTGGCACGTTTGTTTCTGGTCGATTTAGATTTGAACGATACCCTTTCGACTACACTGTTTATCTAAGCTTTTTTGTTTTATTTCGTTCTTAACGTTAAATAATTTTTGGACCTGGTCCTTTTACGATCCGTCTATCGGATTCGGTGTACGATATGAATTTATGTGGGTTTAAGGTGACGAATTTATTTCACAATGCCTCTGCGATTATCATAACAACGTGGGTATCCAGCTTTATTTGGATTAATGCTATGACGCACCGTCACACGTCATAGTCTTGTAAACAGCAGTTTTACGTGGCAGCGGTGCATTCTATTGCCTTTTTGTTCTAAAAGATCATTCGATCCTTCTTGTATTATTTAATTTCACGTGATGTTGGTGTGTCGTTTGAAGTACGATAATAGCACCGTAAACAAGCATAATAAGAACGGGTTAACAAGGGTTTCGAAGGGTTGCCAAGAGAGAGATGTAAACACCGGGTTCATCCCGTCTTTAACCAGACCGTCTCGCCACTCTGTGCGCGAGTGTATGTATTTGCACGCGTGCACGCACGAGGGGTTGCGTGCCCCGGACGCGATTTGCTCGAGAGTATAAAAGGGGAAACCGATTGCGATAAAACCAGCTCGAATGGAAGAGGGGAACGGAGAGGCTGAAAGGGGTTAACGCGGTGCAAGGGCGGGGATTCACCTTTCGTCCAATCGCGTCGGCTAGCGAGTGCGCTCGCTTTATACTTACTTACACGGCCGTGTTTCACCTGCAGACGCCATGTCGTGACGTCATGTCTCGTTACCAGGTAAAACGCGGCACCAGTCCTCAGACCCGAGGGGTTGCTCTTTCCGAGCCCCAAATTTTCTGGCTAACCTCTCGGTCAAAGAATCACCGCTGGTTTTATGGTAGGAATTTCCCTTACCCAATGAGAATCCTTGTCTGTGATTTTGAACTCGTATGAATTCTTTCAATTCTTATCAACGCATAAAGATCCCAGTTTTTTTTATTACGTCACAAATTCGTCGGCCAGTATGACTTTCGTTTATTTCGGATCTCGCATTTTTGACATTTTTGATCGTTTTGACATTATTGTCGGTACGATGATTCACGATTGTGGCACCTTGGTTCTCTAATTAACATTCCCGCGAGCAGAGTCCAATTACGGGCGGGCAGAGTCCGTTTGATTAGGAGCCGGCGTTAGAACTGGAGTCCTCCGTGGAGAGTCAGTGTTTCTTTTTGCTATTCCCCATTATCCTTGCGGAAGATTGCGCCGGTCCCTCCCCCTCAAGCAACCGCGAACTATTATTCGGCCGTTTTACGATAGCCCTATAAAAATCTCATAATTAGATTTCGAAGGTAATATCCTGCCCAGGACCTTATATAGCCCTGGCCCTCGACGGTCTGGTCCAACATTTTTGCCAATCTCCTATCTCGCAGATGTGCTTCGTAGAACTTTCGACCAAACCTCTCGGTGTCTCTCTTCGTTCGAAAATATTGACCGTGGAATATCTATAGCGGAAATAGCGAACCTATTTTATCGATTCGTGACTCACGTTTCAATGGCACGTTGCAGTGCATGCGCCGAAAAATATAGAAGTATACATACTCATCGTTAACAATCGTTAATCAATGAAGAATGATATAAGCATAAGGACGATTTTCTACTCGTAATAAAATAATTCTAGAGCTCGGAAGTTTCGCGAGATAAATTGTTACCAACTGGTGACACGCTCGATATTAATCGCTTATTGGGAGATACTAATTCATCCGAGTGCTGGAGAACGAATTTACTCGATCGTGTGCTGCGAAAGTTGGAGATCGTAGGCTCCTTTTCCTAACGTGATTTTATCTTGACATCACTGAGTTGAAAACTTATTAAACTAAAGGATGTATAGTTTATCAGGGAACAAGTTCTTGATAGCCTTGATAGAATCAGCTTACGTTTCAAATTGGACGACAGTTAGTAATTGGAACAGTGTTATCACAAAAAACTACCCTTAGATAATGAGAAAAAAAGATCTCAAATCGCTGATGGACGAAAATTTGATAAGTACCATGATTTTTATCTCGATTCGATGGAGAATAGTTTAGAGTTCGATCGAGCTCTCTTTTTTCCACTGCAAATTCTTACGTTCTCCAACAATCGGTCGAGTCATGTTTTTCGCTGTTCGCCTGTTATCTCTTTCAGTACAAGCACGTAAGTTCGTTGGCGCTCACCTGAATTTGTAAGTTTCGCCTCCCAGTCGACCAATTATACTACGTGGCACATTTTTTATTTTTTTATACATTACGAGTCGGTTTATTTAATGAGCACGTGACTTCGCGTTTGCATTCGTCGTTTCAGCAAATTCATAGTTTATCGTCTGACTGATATTCATGCATCCACGTGGAAATGTTTGCGGGGGCACCTGCAGCATAATTTTGTCATACAAGTAATCGCGATTTGGACTTCGATTTCCCGAATTGCCATTACAAACGATTTATTTTACATAATCGGCCGCGAAAATGGATCGGGATTTTATCGTCGCCGCGATGGCGTCAAAAGGTCGCCCGCGACCCGCGCATGCATTCCTCGTTGCAGCCGCAACGCGCGTGATCGGGTGATCCGTTCTAGCTGGGAGAGACGTGGTTTCACGATGGTGGGGAATCACTGGCTACAGAGAAGGGGCTTAAAGAGTGAATGAAGTAAAGGAAAAAAAACCGGAAGACCTCGCTGAATCGCGATTGGTCCAACCTCGGGCACCGGTCACGCCTGCTTTTATTTGCGCGCGTCGATCCAACGCCGACATCGATTCTCATTTTTTCAATTACCTGCTTGCGATCCGTTTTTCGATGACGATTCATGACGTTTCACATTTTTAGAAATTTCCACACGACAGACTCTTCTGTCGGTTTCAAACGAAAGCTGGCTTCGCTCACGAACACCGCCGATTTCGATTTTTCCAATTACCTGCTCGCGACTCGAGTCATTCTTTCAGCTTTTAAACGACCCCAATCAGTCACACTCGGGCGTTACACGTAGGGCATGTCCCAATTGCTACTCACTGTCTCTTTTTCCTATAATTTTACGTGGAGGTCAGTAGAAATTGTGACATGGACAGAACAATTCTCCTTCCGGATTTGTTTTTGTCATGAGAATCACGTAGTACAAAAAAAAATGAAGAAGTCTCTATTTCCTTGAACTATGTTGAGAACGATTAAGGATGTATTGGCTATATAGTC